TGAAATTTGAGTTTTGAAATATTTGTTTCAATACACAGAGAGAAGTAAAAAACAAAATGGTCTTTAAAATTGTGACAGTTGAGGCTAACTTATATTACTAAAACGTTTCCAGTCTTTGGGACCTTTCTCTTTGGACTCTAAAGATTCATAAGGTTGATTTAAGGGTGAAAGAGTAAGCATTATATTTATATAGCTATTGTTTCTCCTAAAGTTGAAATATCCTAATTAGAACCTATGCAACTGCCCATACCATTATCCAGTAAGGTAACAAGCCGTAGGAGAGACTAGGTGGGAGAGGCTATTGTCAAAAAAGTTACTTATCCTAATTTGTTCATGAGCACCACGGTAGTCTTTTGGATTACAACTTTCTATTGTTTGTTTATTTATACAGCCTGTCTTTGTGCTTATAATTGCAGAAAAAATATGTGATGTTGTGCATACTTTAACTGCATAGTTTTTTTAATCATAAAATGAATTATAACTGAATCTGCCTATTTAATGCTGGCAGAAAAACTTCCTATTCTATCATGGGTCCAGTTGGTTGGAGGCTTGCAAGTTAACAGACAATAGATTAACAGAGGAAAAGACAAAATGTACTTACACAGGCATGTGGCAGTTGCTCAGTACTGAGTAGTTCACTGAATAGCCAGGGATAAAGTTTATATACCAAACTTTAGGGAAGGGGTGTTTTCAGGTTTTAATGAATGGACGGTTCTGATAAGCCTTGTTTACACAATATTTTGGAATGTCCTAGTGCCTAAGATCAGTTCTTCCCTGACTGGAGACCACTCCAGAGTTAGGGGTTGTGGTAGTTGACTTTGGTAAATCTCTGTTTTAGTAAGATTAGGTTATGTTCAGAACATATTTTTTTTTTCTGCTTATTTAGCTCAACTGTTTTCACTTTAAAATAACATTTGTATGAACCCCTGGGGCTCTAAATGGGTCTCCACATTTTTCCCATCTGAAACTTCCCTAGAAATTTCACAAAAATAGCTAGGTTGATTGCTCTGGGGAGAAATTTCAGGTTAAAAATTATAAAATATGATATCTGTAAAAGGGAAACAGAAAAAGATTAATGATTGGAGCATAGGATGAATCCAGTTTTTAACTTCATAGTATAGCCCACTGAGAAGGGTTCTTGATGTTAGGCTCTAAGTATCTTAAAGGAGAACAGAGGTGGTATAGCTGTAGTCATGGTTATTTTCTGGAGCACAGCATGGGAGGTGCAAGTGTTCTGGTGAAATTTTTGAGTGGCCCAAACTCTTTCAGCAATAAATCTTTTGATGTTTACGTGAAGTGAGAAAGCTTTCGTTACGGGATTTTGGGAAAGTGGCAGTTTTAATTCTCAGTGATTCCAAGTAAGGAGGGTGCTAGAAAAAGTAGAACTGTTAATTGATGACAAAATTAAGAAGATGGTAGTACCCAGTTTACAAAGAGATGCAAGTAGCTAAAAAACAATACAGACTAGAATCTAGTAACCTGTAAGAGTAGTTTATAGTCTTCCATTGAAACATAAACCTTGTCTTTACAGTACATCTGATTTTTAATCAATGGTAATCAAAGGAAAATTATTCTTGTTTGCAAAACAAGTCCTGATTACATTTGATTTGGCTTGATTATAACCTAAGTGAAGCAATAATGATAACTGACCACATGGATCTTTTTAAGTTTCCTCTGCTGAAGTTTTTTATTAACATAAGGAATCTCAGATTGGACTTTTAAAAGTCTTCTCAATGCTGTGAAACCAAGCCAAGAACCAACCACCTTACTTCACCTGCAGTACCTATAAATTTTTGTG